ACGCCTAAATACACAGAACCTATATTGCAGTGTACACAATTGAAAATTTAATGAAATTGTTCCCCAAGGGTTCAAGAAATAAAGAATGGTCAATGCTTTGAGGCAATTGATTTTCCTTTTCAATTTTAAAGCAGGTAATTTTGACCTTTCTATCACAGAGAATATGCACGATCCATTCATCCAGATTTCCATAGGTCCAATTTTTGTAGGTAAAATTGCCAAAGATGTGAATGTCTATTAGTTTCAAAAAGATAATGCAAACTTTATTAAACAAACAAACATTTAGATTGACGTTGAAGCAATTTTTTTCGTAATCATTCTTTTCAACATGAAATGCATGTAGTAAAAATATGAATTTTGGCAATTTGATAAACGAAAAATTATATGTTTCCAGCAACTCAATGTTGAAGAGCTGTTAAATATAGGAAAAAACGAAATTAAACAGAATCGAGTGGAATGCATTAACCTTTTCACCAAACGATATTCATGCAATTAAATGAATGTCAGATGGTGATTTAATAAAAAATGACAGAAAACAACGTACTGCTACTGTACAGCTAGTTTCATAGTTCATGTGAAACATGATTCTCAACTTGTGTCAATCTCAAATAGATGCAAAATGTGTTGATAGTTTCATTTTATGAACTCAATCAAGTTAAACGTTTTATTTGCACAAATTTTTATTGTCTATTGTGTGATATCTTAAAAACTATAATCTCTGTCTCATCTTTGATTAACATTTGATGATGCTTTCCATTGAATAGTTTTTATCGTTTTGTTTCGCGAAATCATTAGTCAAAATCAACATTAATTCGACGGAAGATCTTCGATTGTTTGAAAGCATGATTTTATAACTGAAAATTGGATGGAATCTTGGAGACAAGACGTCTTGGGAGTTAATAGACAAAAAGTCAGATTAATCGTCGTGGCATGAAATTCGTGTGAAATTTTTGTGATGATTTACCGTCGCCAAAGTCTTTGATGTAAAACTTTTACAAGAGTTTATTGAAAAAATACCTAGATTATGTGTTTGTTTTAAGATTTTTTTGTCTTGGTCATCTTTTTTGTTCAATATTTACATTAAATAAAAGCACCAAAATACATTTTGATAAGATTATCAAAAGGTTACGCTGTTGTAATGTAATTCCATCAATATCACACGCACACATTTCGGTTTGTCGTTAAGCCGAAGATGTGAAATGATGACGATTTAATCCGAATTATAAATCAAATTTTATGCTATTTTATACAGATTTCATGAATAATATTATCAGTTTCACTGCTAATTAAGATGGTTGACTTCCCTCTTACTGTTTTCAATGGGCAGTCTATCGAACGTGCAAAAATATTTGGCAAATTTTTTTTGCTTCTCATTTTGAAGAGGATTCCTATTATTATTCATGTGATTTGTTTTGGATCACGAATCAAAGCCATATGATTTCTAGCCACAAAAAACGGATAACCTTCAAACATAATGCACAATTTTTTGGTGTAAGGTGCTGTCCCAATATTCAAGTTGTTTTCAATAAGTAGCAAACAAATATACGCTTTAGGATGTTAAGGCCTACAAAAACAGGGATTAAAGATCGAAATTGAATACGACCAATTGATGAGCAAAGCTACTTTTTCGATTTGATATATTCGAAGATACTAATGGAGCGATTACTCATCTACATTTATTTGGTATCATTTTGTCAATTCAACCGAAACCAAAAAAAAAAGCCAAAAAAGATATGAAAATGATTAAAATTCGGTAAAATACAGTGTGTCATGTGGCTTTTACGTTAACCAATCTTATCTACAATCAACCGAACACCATCGTCGAAAAAAGAATCTTTTAACAACTGAAAGTTCGTGCAAAGAACAGGTTCAAGATCGCGAATTTTTGTGTACTTCTTTCGCCTCAATCCCGTTCGAATGATATTTAACTGCGATTGCGTGTGTGATTCTTACAAGAAATTTTTTTATTCAATGTAGTATCATGTTATGCTTGTATTGAATATCATCTACTTTTAATTTCATCAATGAGAGTGGCACATAATTCATTCGGATTACACAAGAAGACGCTACTTTTTATACATTGTTGATGTTTTTCTGTCTTTACCGCACGGTTTCGGCATCACCGTCTCTCTGTGTTTTAATATATTCCATTCGCTCGCCGAACCACCAAAGCGGTGCGAATGAGATGGCATGGTCAAACACCAAAAGGCGAATATGATTTTTTTTGGTGCGCGACGAGACGACACAGTGTAGCATGGAGGTGGTCATCTTTCAAGTATATGATGTGTATATTTGCATTTTGATTCCGTATGTATATTTATCGAGCGTGAGAGTTCAACTCTCTGGGTGATATGTGTGAGATACACACTGCATACCGCATTATTATTGCCATATACCATACATAAATAAAATCAAAATAAAAAGAAGAAGAAGAAGAACAGAGATACACGATTGAATATACGACCATATCATGGTTGTGTGAAAATGTATAATTTTTTCGGTGATTTCGTCATTTGTATAATATTGGCATAATATCCGTAAATGGTGAAGCGTTGTTTGTATGATAAATACATTGAATGTGCCATATATGATAGTTTTTGAATTTTTCGATCCAATCATGATCTTTCAACTCGCAATTTTTGTGGCAATTCAGTTTAAATTTTGCGCTTATGAGCTTAATACACACGTTCACAGTGTGAATGTGATTTTTTTTTTCTGTGCCATTGCTTGAACAGTGTTTGATTCGTATTACGGTGAAGGATCGAGAGCCAATGTACTGTCTAGATATTGATCTGATAAATGATGCTTATTTATTCGGTTTAAAAATTCAAGCTTATACAAGCGAGAATCAACGGATACGCTTTGGATTTTAGTGATTCTTGTGAATTTAGTTGAATTTGAGTGCATTTTTAATCATTACCGGATTTTTTTTCTAGTCGAAATAATCGTAAATTTTTTTTCTTCTTCCGTTTTTTCGTGTCAATGATCTGGTTATAAATTGATTTTCGAACCAGTTTTAGTGTGGTGCAAATGACTGTGTTTTGTTATCTTGCATTCTTCTATTTGACCAACATTTTCAAGGGGGAGGGAAAAGTTTGCGCGTGTGCATATGATTTAAATGTTTCGATGATTTTTTTTCGCATAAAATTAGTTCAATTTAAATATATGTCCACTTAAAATATATCCTCGAAGTTTTTTTTCTCTCGTTTGTTGTTGTTGTTATCCATATTTATGTGGCTTTCAACCGGATATAGCACCTAAAATTAAAATAATCATTTTTTGCATATTTAATTGCGACGCGAAAAAAATCGGAACAAAAGAACAAGTCAATGATTAAAATCACACACATATCGATTGGAAGTAAACTGTGATATCAAATGAAGAGATTAAACAATGATCAATCAGATCATATTATTAATTGTTCGAACATGATTTTGACCGTAGAACAGAGCACACTTCAATCTGGACTTATTGAATTTATCAAAATAGCTCTTTAGTGAAATTCAATGGGTTTTTTTTCTCGCCATAAAAATGTATTTAACACGTTTGACTTCATCGATGTGTTTTTATGGTTATTCGAATTGATGTGATTCGTCTAAAATTCATTCGTTTTCTGAACAACATATACGGCATAATTATAATCTATCCTAATCATATAAACACGCGAAACGCGTTTCAAAAGCCCAAAAAAAGATTTTTGTTCATTTTTTAAGTGTCAGTATACGATACTCTGAACAACGTCATCATTCAAACCTTTCCATCTCCATCGCATGAATGTGATGTATGTTCGTGTATGGTATGCGGGCATTATATCAAGAACACCATACTGATTAGCAATCGACTAGTTATCTCTTCAACTTTTATGACAGTTTAATTTTATGATAGCTTTTCGCATTTGTGTGGCTAAAAAACAACATATTTGCGGCGATAAACTTCGGTATCATAAAACAAAAAAAAATCATATCTGAGGTTGGAGTGGAATTATTCAAAAATTTGCAATTCGAAATTGGATTAATTTTCGGTGAAAACAGCTTGTTTGATGAACAACTACACATATTATGTATTTTCACCGTGTAAGGGGGCGAAATTTCGATTTTTTTTTATCTACAACAAAAACGTTCAGCGAAAAGTCTATAAATATTCATGTTGCCAATCTAGTCTCGTTGTCTTTTTATATTCGTTTTCACATGAAACACAATACGAATTCATCCAAAATTAGATGCTACGGTCGTCCGGTGATCGTTTGAATTCCAAATTGATAAAAAAAATGTGGATAAAAAAGATGTCGCTTATATTTTTCCATCGAATCAAGACATAAAATAATATTGTATATTGTTTTTCATTTTCGCATATTTGCTTTACTTTATTTTATGGCTTCCGATGGCTTATCGATGCGAAATATGATGAATTTAATTGAAAATTAATGCAGTTTTTTCACTTCACATTAAACTAATGACTTAACAAACCAAAATTCAAGATTAATATACCATCTAATACCATTTAAAGTGATTTCCGAATGGGCGATTCATATTCGATCGCATGACACACGTGTATGCCGTTCAGGTGTGTGTGTGTATACGCGCCTTTGTTCGTCTCTTCCACCGAAAACTGATAAGCAAACTATTCGAAAGTGATTGAAAGTTAAATTGTTACACACACGCACACACGAGCTCGAATAAAGGCAATCAATCGCACAGCATTATAAACACGTGCAGCTTAAGCCAATTATATAATCAAGCGCAATTATTGAAGGCAATTAATAATCTTACTTTCGTTGGGGATTTCATTAATTAAAATGTGCCTTTAAGTTAAGTGGACACGATTGATTCGGTAAAAATGAATGATGAGCATGATCCATGGATGGAGCAACAAGAAACAAAAATTCATACAGCAACTATAATTAATTCGAAGTCATTTCGATCTCAGCATATATAATAATTTAAAACCATAAAAAAGACATCGTCTTTTCACCTTAGCTATTTTATTGCGAACCAGCGTGTTACAGTTCGTTTTTGATTTCTCGACAGTTCACACGCAACAAGCATACAACATTTTACAATCGCCTTTATCGCTTGTTTACTTGACTCTAGTTCATTTTTCAGTTATTTTTCTTTTATTGAAAATCCTTTGAAAAAGTGATGAGTGTCTTTTATACTTCGAATTAAAGGGTGAAACTTTTTTCAATCGTGTGAATAAATTTTAAGTAAAGCTGAGCAAAAATTGAAATTATATCGTGATTCGAGACGAATACTCAAGCAAATAAGATAAAATTCTGGTTCTATTTTAAGGCAAAGTCACCATTTACGGACATATTGATTTTAAACATGTTAAGCGGGTGCATTTGCTAGGTGTGATTTCATCACAAATGATTTGCTTCGAAAAGAATAGCAACTGGAACGACTTTATTGTCTATCTCCAAATTAAAGAAATTCAATACACGATACAGGATGTGCCAAAGACGCAGCTAAATTACGCTATTTATCTTGGCGTCATTTTATGTGTTCTTTTATTTGACAAAAAAAACATCCATAACAATAATTCGGTATTCTTAAAAAAACAGATAAAAAAATTCACACAAAAAAGGCAAAGAAAAAGAATTTGCATTCATTCATCTCCAGCCAAATCCGTAATAATCATTTGATATTTCATTACAAGCCATGCCAAAAAAAATCATTGGAATTCAATGCACAACCATAACGAAATGATGATTTAAATTAGCGCAGCATCTTTTTTGTGTTATTCGTATTTCAACTGTGACAGTTTAACCATGAACTTCTGAGTTTTTTCTTGTGATCACATAATCGATACATTGACAGCTCATTGGTTAATTTATATGACGACGATCGCTTGTGATAAATCAATTTTATTAAAGAATCTCTCTCTGTCTCATTTTAAGTTTCAGAAATCCGATTATTGATTAAAATCAATAAAGTGGCAAAATAAGTCGATGTTCATTTTGTTTGTGTGATCAATTAATCAAAACAATAGTAACCGTAACGTCAAAACAAGTCACTTCAGCGCATCAGTGATTAGTTAAGATATTTAAGTGTAAATGAATTTGTGTATTTTATGTTCGTTCAAATGTTCACACCCACTTCAACGCAGTGAAGCTTATAATTAATTAAACTCAATAAAGACAAGGAGAATCCAGCAGCTGACAACAACAGGATTCACAAAAAAAACAGAAGGAGAAAACAAAAAGTAACGTACGATGAGGCACATAACGATCGGTGAGTGGCAGCGGTCATATCGGAAGAGTGAATTAAAGTGATAGAAAGCAAATAAATATATTAGTTCGATGAATGACGAAAAAAGGCATATTGTTTCAAAGACGGAAACATCAAACGTTCAAGATGATTAGACAATTCCTTATGCAACAAAATGGATATAAATAAATTATTAAACTTTTTTTTTTGACAAGCAGTTTATCGCGCCTTCCACCGAATGTGGAGGCCAAATGTTTCTGTTAACTCATACAATGTGATGTAAAATATTCTTTAGAGGTAAAAAACGGGATAAGATTGGTTCATGTGTCATCCTCCTACGATATCATCTATCGTGCAGACAAAAATCTTCAATGATTCATGAATATTATTAGATAGTCAATGGCCAAATTTGGATTTCGTGCACATTATCATCATTTGGTGACCAAAAATTTTTTTTTCGCGAATATGCTAAAAATATGATAATCGCTCATAAAATTGTCTGCGAAGTTCATTCAATCAATAAGATATTTTATTGTTATGAGTGAAACTTGTTGTTTCTTTGACATTTTTACGAAAGTTAACCATCTCAAAAAGTAACATATCATCTTCAACAAAAAAATGCTTTTAGTGCAAAATGTTTATTCATTAAATATCATTGTCAAATTATGTGAAACAATTTGTTTTGGTTGCTTTTTCGTAAGTTATTTGATGAAATGGAACTTGCAACTGCGATTCATTCGATCTTGACAACAGCGATAAATCGACCAGTCCATTGTGGTTGTTCAACTCATACAAATAACAAATGGATGCACTTTCAATCTCGTTTGAATTTTTCACATGTCATATGACTATATAATCCGTTAACGCTATTGGCATCAATTATAAATTTTAATTCATGCTTACACGCACGTCTCACAAACCAGAATGTGGCTATATACTCTTTTTTTATTTCGCCCGCGACATTCGTCATCGCAATGGGTTATCTCTTGAAATTAATGGAACGTTATTAATTTTAGCCGGAAAAAAGGTGATTTGCATTTTGCCGATAGACACATTTTTGACACGATATGCGCTATGTTTGGTGGGACCTTTTTTTATTATAGCATACATTCAATACCTCTAAAGTCAGTATGATCAAAATGAAGTAGCTCCACGTCAAGCTGCTATGGCTGCTTCAATATCACTCTCTCATTTTAACCAAATGCAAAAATGTCCACAATTTTTCGATAATAATTTATTCATTTTGCTTTTATTCGTCGAATCTCTATTTTTTATGTAATATCGCACAAATCCATCAAATCATATTTGGTTACCGAGCAACAATGCTTTCAATTTCCATGTATGGTGATTCGGTTTTGAATTTCCGTAGCGCCAAATGTTCAAGTCGCCAAGCAGATAAGCATATAAATCACATTATGTTGATTATTATTTTTAATTTGGAAAATTAATTCGATTATTACTGATTAGGGCGTGAAATTTCCCTTTCTTTTGAACTCATTTGAATTCAGCTTCCAGCAAGAATGTCATCCATATATTTTAAGTATTGAATATTATTTGTACCTTTTTTTGTGTTTAGCTTTGCTGTCATCGCTGCTAATTATTGCAAATTTAGAGGGAACTGCCACGTCAGGAACCTATCGTACGCTTTTCGATTATCCGTTCGATGCCGTTGGAATAAATGATTTGCAAGGTCAAGAAGACGTTCAAATCGAAGTTACGCAAAAGTCGAGGTAAACACTGTGTTATCTAACACAGAATTTAATCATAGACCATCGAGGTTATTACTTGAAAAAAAAACATAATGCAAAATTAAATAGCAGAAGTGATATGGATTTTCAGCATAGAAAAACAAGCACCTGTTCAATATGTCAATCTCAAGTGATTTGCATTGAGGGGAAAAAGTCGTTTTAAGCGCAAAAAAATCATGTCATTTCGCTTTTTGAACGATTTATCACATCGACGACATGTGACCCAATTTATTATTCATGATTAACAATTTTTACTATTTGAAATTCGCATCAATTCAAATGAAATATAAATTTTATCTGTTTTAGCGGTGCCCTTTCACAGCTCAATGCATCCGATCAACTAGATAAACTTAGGAAAAGCATTCCAGGCGAACCAGATGTTGATTATCCAATCTTCAGAACACCACCAGAAACGGCATTCTCTTGCCATAGCCGATCCACAGGTACATTCATTATTTCAGTAATCTATTATTCGAACTTTGGCCAAAAGTCAATATCTCTAACAGAAACTTTCACCATTTGTGTGGCAAAAATTTCGTTTTGTAAGACAGTGCTAATCTTCACAACAATATGGAGGTCTAATCGATCTAATCGAACAAGTCCCACTGACTTATTATCTTTTTTTCTTTCTCGAACATACATTATTTCATTGCGATGACAATACAACCATCAATCTTGTGAAACGATTCATTTGAAATGTTTTACAAAATGGCCAAAATTGAAAATGTACATCATTTCAATGATAACACGTGATTTTTTCAAGTCCATTTAAAGAAATCAATAAACTCCTTCTTTATTTCGGTGAACTAAAATTGCATACTGTCTACAGATTAAACTGGAATTTGTTTTAGTAATATCAAATTACATTATAACCAAAATATTTGCAGCGCAAAGACAAAGACAATATGAGATTTTCAAAATAAGATGATTTGATCAATGGTATTCCATATATAAATCAAGTTTTTGAATAAAATAATAAATTCAATGGTTATTGTATAAATACCAAAAATATGTCTCGAGTTTCTCATTCGAAAATAGCAACAACAAAAAAAACTCATGTAAAATAGAGATGTGAAATGTTCGAACACCGATCACATCATGTCAAATAATTTATGCAAATATTATGCTCTTCGCTCAATGTGGTATTTTTGATACTGAATTTGATGTGCTCTTTTGTTCATGTGTTGTTGTTATTTCGTTTTCAGGCTACTATGCGGATGTCGAAGCGAGATGTCAGGTGTTTCGAGTTTGTACGAATACAGAATTAAGTGGAAAAGGTTCAATGATTTCATTATTTATTCGTATTTCATTTTCAATCGACTCTTAATTTACATGGAAATAACATATCGAAACGATCGATAACAGTGAAACATACCACAAAAAGTGCGATGTTTTCAAAAGAGAATTTTTCGAAAAGTCAATGAAAAAGAAACTGACGATCGATCGTTTTGATTTGTTTGCAATTGTATTGTTTTTTTATTGAATACTAATTTTCTGTTTTCCCTTCAGGATTTGCATTTATTTGTCCAAATGGAACTTTATTCAACCAGGAAGTGTTTGTATGTGATTGGTATCAGCATGTTGATTGCGGTGCAAGTGAAAACCATTACGGCAAAAATGCTGAACTCAATATGAAAATGCAAAGCATGTCTGATATTATGGCAGTTGTAACTGAGATGATGAATTTTCCATTGAAAGGCGCTCAAGGGCGGCCAACGCTTCTACCAAATTTCTCGAAGTCAACAAGTCTAGCGACAGAACGACCAATAGTTACTCCATCGATAAATCAATTCGCATCAAAAACTACGCAAACATCAAGCGTTTCGAATGGTTTCACGTCACCATCGACAGTGGGAACATTTAGCAATGAAACGCCGAATTCGAACACACAAGCAGGTACTCAATTAACACCGACCATTCCACCACAACAAGAACAACATCATCACCAACAACAACAACAACCCAATTCTGAATTCGGTAATCGGGTTATCACACAAGAAGGTGACTTTGAAATTAATTCACAAACTGGAATTGATACCACAAAAACGGTTCAACAGAATACATTTTTGGAACATCCAAAAGACATTTACATCTCAAGTTTGGGTGAGTTGTCCACCGATGCTGGAAATAAATTTAATATCAATACATCGAAAATTATTAAACCGGATGCGGCAATCACCTTAATTAATGCACGTCCGTTAACAAAAGAACAACAATTAAAACAATCATTATCTCAGTCATTCCAAAATCGGGTCCAATCGAACGGTGTTAGTTCGGGCGAACAAAATTTAGCAGACGGTTTGCAGCGCATTTTACAACAAAATCCCGATTATCAAATTCCAATATTATCGGGCGAAGCGGATCTTGTACAGTTTATTGAAATAATTTTACAAAGAAATCCAGACTTAACGGCCGACAAATTGAATGCTATTTTATCAGCCGAAAGTGATGCAATACTGGACATTTTAAATGATGCCGTTAGTAAAAATCAATCCGGCATAAAATCGCATGAAAGTGAAATTTTGCAAAAAATCCAAAATATCATAAATAAATACAAGAAAAATGGTCAATTCGTTGATTCGCCAGCTGTTGGCGGTGAGGCCGATCTGCTCGAAACCCTGCAACGAATTCTTCAGCAAAGCCAATTTCCGATATTCTCCGGAGAAGCTGATCTGGTTTCGTTCATCGAACAACTTGTCAGTCGAAATCCAGATTTTACGAGAGAACGACTAAATGCGATAATTAGTGGTGAAGCTGATTCCATTTTATCGATTTTGAACCAAAAATGGCAACAAAACAATGGACAAGCCATTGAAAGTGGTGAGGCGATTCTCTTAGAAGCAATAGAAATTATTCTACAAAAGTATCGCAGTGTAAATGTCACGCAATTGCCATCAACAGTGTCGATTCCGTCTCAATTGCAACAACAAGCTGTGCAAAGTGGGGAAAGTGATTTACTTGAGAGTACCTTACGGCGAATCCAACAACAAAGTCAAATACCGATATTCTCCGGTGAAGCTGATCTGGTTTCATTCATCGAACAAATTGTGCAACAAAATCCAGATTTCTCAAGAGAAAGACTTGCTGCCATTATTAGTGGTGAAGCCGACTCAATTCTATCAATTTTGAATGAAAAAAGGCGACAAAATAATGGACAACTTGTTGAAAGTGGTGAAGCAATTTTATTAGAAGCGATTCAAATCGTTTTACAAAAATATCGCAATGAAAATAGCTCAAAATCCAATCAGTTTTTGACAACAGTGCCAGTTCAGTCCGGCGAAAGTGATTTGTTAGACATTTTGAGGCAAATTCAACAAAAAAGCCAAATCCCAATATTCTCTGGCGAGGCAGATCTCGTTTCGTTCATTGAACAAATTGTACAGAGAAATCTAGATTTTACACGAGAACAATTGAGTGCAATAATTAGTGGTGAAGCCGATTCTATTTTATCAATTTTGTACGAAAAACGGGCCGAAAACAATGGACAAATCATCGAAAGTGGTGAAGCGATCTTATTAGAGGCAATAGAAATTATTTTACAAAGATTCCGTAATAAAAATGCAAGCACCGTGGTTCCTCAGTCTCCGGTGACACTTCAACCACAGGTGAATTTCCAAGCTGTTCAATCTGGCGAAGATAATCTTCTTCAAAGTGTATTGCAACGAATTCAACAACAAAGTCAAATCCCAATATTTTCGGGTGAAGCTGATTTGGTGTCGTTCATTGAAGAAATTGTGCAAAAGAATCCAGATTTTACAAGAGAACAACTCAGTGCTATCATAAGTGGTGAAGCCGACTCAATTCTATCAATTTTAAATGAAAAAAGACAACAAAATAATGGACAACTTGTTGAAAGTGGTGAAGCAATCTTACTAGACGCGATTCAAATCATTTTACAAAAATATCGCAATGAAAATACCTCCAAAATAAATCAATTTGCAACAACTGTGTCTGTTCGGTCGGGCGAAAGTGATTTGTTGGACGCTTTGAGACAAATTCAACAACAAAGTCAAATCGCAATATTTTCAGGCGAAGCCGATCTCGTTTCGTTCATTGAACAAATTGTACAACAGAATCCCGATTTTACGCGAGAACAATTAAGTGCAATAATCAGCGGTGAGGCCGATTCGATTTTATCAATTTTGAACGAACGACGGCAATCAAATAACGGTCAACTTATTGAAAGTGGTGAAGCAATCTTGTTAGATGCAATCCAAATCCTTTTGCAGAAACATCGCAACAATACAATTTCAAATCAGTCATCACTAAAAACTGGTTCATTGCTTCAAAGTCAGCAAGCCTTTGTGCCAAATACACAAAGCGATAGCAAAATTGGGAATCAAAACAAAATCGAAAATGGAATAAATATAAACGATTTTAAACCAGTTTCAACAATTGTACCTAATGAACAAGAAAGGGAAATATCGACAGTATCACCACAGCCGATTAGTCAGGTTTCGCCATTTGAAATAACATATCAAAATGTTGAATCAGATGATTCGGATTTGCTGGAAGAAACATTAATGCGAATTTTACTACGAATCCCAAATCAACAGCAATCTATATTTTCGGCCAAATCAAATTTACAAGAGTTTGTTCAGCGACTTAAAGAGCAAAATTTGGACTTTTCTGCCAAACAATTGAATGCAATCAATGGTGGCGAAGCTAGTTCAATTCTACGAATTTTAAACGATAAAGTTGAGAGAAACAAACCGATTACTAGTGCCGATTTATTGGATTCGATTGAACAAGTTCTTCAAAAATACCGTCAAAACAATCAATTATTGCCACCGTTGCGTGAGCCAGTGTTTGATGGTGAAAATGATCTCTTGGAGACGATCCGGAAAATTCAACAGAAAAGCATAGCTCCAATTTACTTTACTCAAGCCGATCTGTTGCCATTCATTCGGCGAATTGAACAGCAAAATCCAAAGATAACGCCACATCGATTGAATGAAATTATTGGCGGTGGCATTGATTCCATTTTAACCATTTTAACGGAAAATCGTGAAAAAGAGAATTACAGCGGTTTTGATGTTATTGAAAGTGGTGAAGCCGATCTATTGGTGGCCATTCAGTACTATGTTGAAACATACGCAAGACCGGAAAATGATCCATCCATATTGCCACCACCACCTCCATCACCACCTACATATGTTGCTCCAACAATTCCACCACGACCGGTCCCACCACGACCAGTACCATTAGGACCAGTTCAGCAGTCAGGAACATTTCAGCAATCAGGACCAGTTCAGCAATCAAGACCAGTTCAGCAATCAGGACCAGTTCAGCAATCAGGACCAGTTCAGCAATCAAGACCAGTTCAGCAAATACAATCGGGGGCGAACGATTTGTTGCGAACGATTCAGCATATCGAAGAACAAAGTCAAATACCAATATTTTCGGGCGAAGCCGATCTTGTTACTTTCATTGAATTAATAAAACAACAAAATCCAGATCTTACACAAGAGCAATTGAGTACAATTATTGAAGGTGAATCTGATTCAATTGTAAAAATTTTAAATCAAAAAATGCACAACACAAAACAAAGTTCGGTCGGTACAGTTGGCGAGAATTCCGGTGACGCCGCTTTGTTGGATGCAATTTTCCGAATTTTGAAAAAATACAGACGAAACTATCAGAGCACGTACAGCTATCCAAACAGTCAAAGTACATTGGCATATACTCAAAGCAGTCAAACCCAAACATTGGTAAGTTATGAAAAATACTTAAGAAAATTTCGAATTATTTTTTTTTTTAAACAATCTTTGCCTTTTCAGACCAATCAATTACCAAAAGAAGCCAACGGAAATGGGCAAGTGTCGTCGCATTCCGTGCACGGACAAGTGACCACACTCAACTCTGGTGGAAGTGAATCATTCTATAAACTTTCAAATCAAAATCAAGCGACTGCAGGCGGTGATGAAAAGCCAATTTATTCATTTGAACAGAATAAACAAAGCGATTTTTCGAATAAACATTTACAATCAATTCAAAGTCATGTAACAAAGAATGTGTTCGAAGGAAAAGACAATATTTATACGCAAACTGCAATAAGTCATCAAACTCGATCTCAATCAACTTCGTCCAATTCACAGAAAATCCACTTTAAAATAACGCATACAGTGCCGTATCAACAACAGGCCGTACAGTTAACTCAATCGAGTGTATCAACCACGTTATCGCCCAATACATATATTCCACCGGTCATTCCATCGCATACAACGCAACCATCTTATAGCTACACAAGAACAACGACTACAACAACACCAGCAGCGAAGCAAGTGTTCACATATCCGGAGGTAAGCAAACATCCCAAAATTTATTTCTTGAGACAAGAAAAACATTCATACACAGACAAATTGATAATAAACCACTGAAACATTGAATACAATACTGAATTACAATATCGATGACATACTAATGAAAACAGGTTCCAATCAATCAACATGAGGTAAGAAATTCGACACTTGCTTATCGAAACACGGACAATAGACAACGAACAGTGCATGCAAAGTACAATTCAAAGGAACTGCATGCCAGCACACATGGTATGTTTATATAGCTGACTTGAACACATGATACATGAACACATTTAATACAAGTTTGTTGAACATTAATTTTATGACAGATAAACGCAACACGGATTTAACGAAAGACCGTCAATCGACTGATTTATTCTTGAAAGGATTACAATTATCATTTTTTGAAAATAATGACTTAAACCAACCGGTTTATCGTTCACAAGTACAATCTGAACTGTCAGTTAGAAAGCGCAAAAGTCCAATGAACTATGGACATTTTGCTGGCGAACGAAATAACTACAAAAACAATCAACTAGCTATTCAAGACGAAACAAATAATAAATTTTATAAAAATAGTAACACTGAGACAAAATTAAACGTTGACACACGTGCAAATGACAGATTTAAAGACAAACAACCATTACGCTCATCTCTGACATCCGATCAAGCTGTTCGACGAGACGCAATACACCACAATCAACCACGAGCATACAACAAGACCGAACCATTTTTAATTCAAGTTTATTAAAAAAAAATACCGCATGCACACTTCCTATCTCTCTCTTTCTCTCTCTCTCTCTCTCACACACACACACACATACACCCACACAAAACCGCTCATAATATTGAAATTCGCCGTATTATTGAAAATTTCGTTTTGGTTCACTCGAAATCATACAGGAAACCGAAGTACGTAGACAAAGTGGCAGCGTGAATATTGCAAAGGATCCCGTCAACTATCAATTTATCAACAACAGACAAAATATTGCTGCATCACAGCAACATCAAGCACCTGTGGCTCAACAAGCGTACGTTTATACTGAAATTGAGAATCGACCTCCAGTAAATTTTGATGTTGTTCCCCATCCACCGCTCCAAACTGAGTATCCAAAATCAATTCAGAATAACATTGAGTCACGTGTTGTAAATCGACCAAAATTACGTCAATACAGTGCACCGTCAATACCATCGTCATTACCTTCAATTGTTCATCAGCCAAGCAATACAGTTGCAACTATTGAAAATGTTCCGTCCAATTTTGGTAGTTCATTAAACGCACAGCAATCGTATTCATCATTACCGGTGATAACATCAACGTATAGCAACCGTGAAAGTGGTAATGCACGTGAAAAAGTTGTCGTCAAAGTTGTAAAAGCGCCCGGTTGGTATTTGAACGATGCCAATGAACGAAGATCATACTTTAATGCGGTTGCACACGGTTTGCTGAACGAAAATGGACTGGTCTATGTAAACGATGTACAAAGAGAAAATACAGCACAATTGACATCATCAACAACAACAACGGCACAAAATGCTCCAATTAACTTTACTCCATCGACAATTCCTCTGCCGGCATATGCACAAACACAAACAGTTCAAAACCCATCGACAGTTCATAATCCCAAAAATATCATTCCATCGGCTGCATTTCAGTCTGGACAACCCATCGCATACAATCCAATACAAACATATAACGGCATAAATTATTGGCCACCTTGTTTCACAGCAGCCGCTGCAGCCGCATATTCACAACCCATTCAAGTATCTCAGTCACAGCCACAGTCACGGCAATTCACATTCCAGAAATGATGATCAAATTGCCGATGGGGAACAACATATACAGCACACGGTCATTCGTCTTACAATTTGCAAGTTTATACAACGTATTTTGAAGAGTTTTTGGCTACAGACCATTGCTTGGCATACATCAATCCAGTCGTCATTACGTCACCCACCCACAAAATGTTAGTTCTTTTAAATGTGCTTGCATTTTTAAAGAGTTTTAAATAGTAATTATTGATAGTCATGCATTCCATATTCGGCTGATTTGCGTTGTTGGATGCATTTTTAACCAGTCATTTTGATTACGTTCTTCGAGTTTATGTTATTCATAAATAATGTAGAATTTATAATAACCGCGTCAAATTCGTCAGCAAATGTTGCACTTTGTCATTTATAATACGTTTTAATTAGCGATAACACATCAACATTCCTAAGTTTTAATTTTTAAGTTGTACTATTTATTTTTTTTCTTACTAAAAAAAAGATTGAAACTTTTTCGAAAATATTTTTGACTTTTATTTCAATGAAGAGAAAAAAAGCTGCGTCGCTTCAAAATCGGTTCGGTTAAAGAGGATTGCCTTGTTTATCACACTACTCTTTTTTGTATGTTTACTTTTTTTTGACACTGGTAACATATTTTGAGGGGGTAATACCCCAGAAATTCATCGTATAAATCATTTTGGTAATGATGATAATCTTTAGACAATCAGTTTGTCATTGGATTTAAGCAATTCAACTCCAATTCCACAAATCGCATTGCTATTAATTTGGAAATCATTCAAAGACAGCCAAAATCGTAATATCGTACAAATACCACATTTTCATTTGTCGTCGTTGTGTGCACGTTTTTTGCGCTGTTGCTTCAAATGTGAATGTGGAAACAGTGACAATGGATTACCCAATGACATTTTAATGTGAATTATTTATACGAAAAGCCGTCATTTGAAAAATGAAAATAAATGCCTATAGCATGAGTCGGTACTTTGAAGCAGATTAAGAATTTGAGAGAATTTCGTCTTTTCTTGTATGTATGTGTGTATTTGATGTTATGTTGTTGTCGTTGATATCGAATGCAGAAAATAAGAAGAAGAAAAAATCCACTTTGCACAACGCTCATCGTTACTCTACTTAATGTTGCTACTTTCGCAGCTCTCTCTCTCTCTCTCTTCCTCTCTAACTGATTCCCATTCTCGTTCTTTTTTATTACATTTACAGTCTGCATTTCATTTGAAGAATCACATTTCAATCTGAAGGGAAAATGCGAGAAAACCATCGAGTGTAAAGTAAATAACGTATCTGCGTTGCCAAAATCGTTAAATGGTTTTTTGATGCCAACGAAATGCGAAATGTACAAATTTTACCGACTAAAAGCGTGAAGGGTAAACACAACCCAAGTAACTGATATATGTATCGTCGTTTGCTTTCTCATTTGATTGAAAAATCGTTCGAATTCGTAATGCGATATATATATATATGTGTGTGTGTGTGTCTGTGCGTGCGAGTGTGGGTGTTGACACAACGCCATCAATTTATTTTGACTGATTTGCATTCGAAAATATAAAACATTTTAACGCTTTTTTTATGTTCGAAGAAACGGCTGCAGTTCAATTACTTTCTTTTTCTCGTCTTGATGGTAAGGAAGAGTGAAAAAAGACTTGATGTTTTAGCCAAAGAGTATGAAAAACTTTGGCTCATAAAATGGCGCATGAAATGAAAATGGGTGTTTCATGTTCAATGTGTAAATTTATCGTTGATTGTTTGTTTTGCAGTAATCATTATTTTGAATTGTCTTAAATTAATCCTTACGATCTCGGTTAGCTTATTGTTTGATGCTCTGCCATTACAGCACCGCATCGGTCAAAGCGTTGAACAACACAGTCATTCAAACCATCAACCATTCCCATTAACATAACGGCCAAAACTTTGTTTAATTCCGAAAATATGCTACCCACAAGATGTCGGCCAAATAAAATTCGACGAATCTTCGCTTCAGTTTTTTTTTCTATGTTTCTGCTCAAATTTTATTTGGCCGCAATTGTATTTGAATGTCGTCAATACCCTCACATATGTACAAGCGTATCTCGATGCAGTGTTATGGTATAGTTTCGGGTAAGATTTCCATTTAAATAGTAAAATTCATCAAAGAAATATAAACAAACGTTGATATTTTATGAACGGCTACAAACATATTTTGTTGAAATGCTTTTCGTTTGCAATTTATACGCATTATGCATTTCTGTTTTCCCGGCAACCGGAAGTGGAACAAGAGAAAAGTAAAAAAAAAAGAATCTTCTTCTAGTAAACTTGCTTGAAATCACCTATACTGCCACTGCTCTTCTGCCATTGCCACCAACATAGCAGCGTACTGCATTACGAATATTTGCATAAAACTTAAGTAGAATTGTATATTAAATGGAAACTTTAATTAGTTAAGAAGATCAACATTTGGTAGAGAGTTGTTAACCCAAACAAAAACTTTTCTGTTTGATAGACACTGTGTAAATCACATGGAAAGTTTCAAATAGTTTTTGGGTTTATAAGTATCTTTCGTATTGATATTGTGTCGAATTGAATTTTGAAATAAGGCGAAAATGAAATGCTTTAATTATGAAAATCAACAATTACATTCAGCGAGCACCTCGATTCAGCGACAATGCCAAAGAAAAAAAAAACTGTATTCCCAAATGTACCTAAGCAAATACGATACTGAAACTACATCGTAATAAAGTTTATTTAATCGTTTGAGTAAAAAGTTTTAAAATAAAATGTAATTAACGGCAAACTTTAGTCTGCAACAACACCAATTTATTATTCATTTGCATTTTATACGTAAAATTCGATAATTTTTAGTGATTAGAATATTTTTTCAGATTTTTTTTTTTTAGAAATGTCTAAAAATAAGAAAAACGTGTTCATATTTAAAATGAGAAATGATTAAAAGCGAATCAAAACTTCTTATAAATATTTTCAACACTGAATCACTAAATAATCATCAAGTAAAACATTCGTATTAAAATCAAAGTTTTCAAATGAAGCATTAGCTGGTAGTTTATGAAATAAAATGTTGTGCTGTTGCAACAAAAAAGAAAATTGCTTGAAAACTACTGCAAAAGTTTAAGTATTTAACAACAAATAACAAACACAGTACACAATGCTGGCAGTAATTAGCCAACTAACAAAGATGATTTGATGAGAGACGAAAGCATCCACGTCGCTAAATTGAAAGGGTAATTGTGTTCTAATAGAACGAAACTCCGAGAACATGTGCTGCATTACGATTGTACGAACGTGCATTTTTCTTTCAATTTGTCAGATTAGCAAGAACTTAGCAAAGGTTTCTCTGGGGGAGGTTAAATTAAAGATGTACACGCATCGAATGCTGACACCTTCCATCGAATCTTTTCGGGATACACTAAACAGACAAAAAAGTTGTATTTCTTCGAGTAATAAAGTGTAACGAAGTTGTTTTTTCTTTGACTTTTAGTTTCACCGATGGAATGGTGTTACGTTCAAAATAAAATTGAAAAGTGTGCACACCGTGAGTGTGAAAGGGAGTGGAAGAGTGAAAGATATAGCGAACGAAACATCAGGAGTATCAAAGTACTTTTTGTTAGCTGGTTCAATCTGTGTTATTCGTGTGATTTCGTGCTTCACCGACACATAAATAAAAGTTTGCTAATTTTTGTTCTTCGAGTACGTGATTTCAATGATGACAAAGAAAATCACCAAACTCTTTGGATTTGCCATTCACTTCAACGATGATTGCTTTAGTCAAACACATGTCATTATATCAAGCTGCTTCTTCATCTGACTATAAAGTTTCTTTTTTCTCTTTCATTTAAGTAATAGTTTTCCATTCAACTGTCGACTGAGTATAGTGACGCGATATTCGGGATGTTGAACTTTTCTCGTAGATTTCGTAATCGCACGAGGCGATATCTCATACTATAAGCACACACTTCAAAGTGTTATTGCATGCCTTTATTTAAACCACCGTTATTCGTAAATATAACTTAATTTTGATTTAGTTTCGTTTTTGCATGGTTATGTGTGGGAGCTAAGATATCTTCGTATGTTTGGCAAACAATGTCGCGCAAACACAAACAAAGAATCGCTATAGCAATGATGCATAAACTGGAATTGAGTGTCACATTTGTCTTTTTGATCAGAGCGCCATTTTCAACAGTCACTCTAATGATGGTTAGTTGTTGTGTTTTTTTTGTATGCGCGCCATACATCCCCATTGCATTTTCCATCGTATTATTTGTCGACGGAAAAACATTGTACATTTTATGTGTGACATATCACATATAGTTTGAGCGCCATTTTCAATTTCTACTTTCAAATAATAATTCAAATGAAAAACAAAAACCCCGGTGATGTATCGAGCAAATAGAAATATGTTGAAATTATTGTCAACAATTTGATGCATCGGATGCGCTGCCATTATACAGTATGTGAAGTGGAAAAGTTCTGTTTCAACATTCCAACAACGCTCTGTATTTATATGTTTTATCAACAGAGTAATGTACACACACATCTGCGATTACAGCATTCACAATTTACACAAATATTTTACAAATGCAGTGTGCACAGGCATTCGAAATGCATATAAATTTTAAGCGGAAAGCGGTTTCATATACATTTGATGTACACTATTTCGAAATGCGAATCACAAATGTCATAGAGGTTGTACATCGACAGTTTTGCCTATATCCCGGCGCATTCTACACATCTGCACCAACAAATGTGCAAACATACATTAATGAAATTGTGTGGATTTTATGAGCGTGAGCGTATTTTTTTTAAACAATTTCGTTGCGTGTCAGCTCAATTAACAATATTTTATTGTGTTTAACCAATAAATCAATTAGCAAAGCCTTCATGCATAAAGCAAAGCTCTCACACGGGCTAAATGACAAACAATACAAATCATTTGGAGTTCTTTTTTCTTGTTTCGTATCATAGTACAGCCAAATAAAACCGTAATACGTTTATGACACACATACTTCCTCCGATTGGATTTTTGATAAATTGGGTGTTGAATTTGATTTCCGTTCGATTCGGAAATGAAGTAAAGCAATAGAGTGCAGACATTAATCTGCAGTATCAGAGTGTCATGTAAAATGTCCATATGGTTGATATTTTCAAATGATCCAATCAATTGACAAACTCAACCAATTTTCCAAAGCATTGCCAAAAAATATGAATGAGAAATAAAATTATAGATTTTCAAGCATCATGCGAGAGTAGCGTTTAGTTAGTGCACATGCTATAAGCATATCTTATTTCCATTTCAGTTTGTTGCCGGAAATCGAAGGCAAGAGACGGGAAAAGAGCGTACCAACAAGTTGTGTAAGCACATCAAAGGCGTAGTGATATGCCAGACCATAATTCAATTTGTTTTCAAAATGCCGATTCGATTTCG